CCCTTTTGCTTTTCAATTTACCTATAATAAATTGGTCATTCTAGAATTAAAGGTTTATTAGAATTAAGGCAGAAAATTATCATCTAGCGTTAATTACTCCAAGACCCCCTCAAATATTAGCACTTTACCCTCCCATCTATCAAACCAGACATTTGATCCTTTCAATTATAAAATTGTATCACTTTCCCTCCTCCGGACACCTTTCTGGGGTGTATTTGTACGATTTTCATAATTAAAGAGATCAATATGTACGTTTTCATAGATAGCTTATATATATATATACATATATATTACTTTCAGTTCTTCATCCATAGCGGCAGAGTTAGCAAGTAGTCCATGGCAATGAGGCCATCAACACAGATTAGCGAACAAAGCAAGACTGAGGATTTGTTTGAGACTTTGAGAATTTGTTTGTTGATGGAGATGAAATGAAATGAATGGGAAAAATAACCAGCATAACAGACTTCTGACATCTCAAAAAATGAAAAATAAAAAAATTGACTTCTAAAGAATTACTAAATTTTTTCCAACTTCCTTGTAATCAGAAGTTGGCTTGCTGCCTTCATCCTAATACTTCCATAATTTAATCTCTTACTATATATTTTTTTTAAAATTTAAGTTTAACCTTAGTTTTTTTGCGTTGTGTTTTAGGTATCCATTTGTTGGTACATTGCAAAAATCAAAAACTTGCAAGTGGTTGAATCTTGTTCTGCCCTTTGGTTACTTTTGGAAATCAAAAAAAAAAAAGTAACAATGCAGAAGGGAAGGAGTACTAGTAATAGTTGTGGAATTTCTACTTGTTCATTGCCTGAAGAAATGTTGGTGGACATTCTAACAAGACTACCAGCAAAGGTGGCAATCCAATGCAAGTGCATCTGCAAGCGTTGGTGCTATCTGATCGAGGATCACTCTTTTGTGGATTTACACCATACTCGTGCCCAATCTAGGCCCTACCTTGTCATCTCCTTAATCAACTACTCATTCACCAAGATACATTTTTTCTCAGCAGGAGGACCGGCCCAGTAATTGCTCACTGATTTCCTCTCAGGACTTTATCATATTAAACAATCTGTCAATGGCTTAAAAAGTCTAAATCCATTTTCATCGTGAATCCTACCTCTCGACAATTTGTTACCCTTCCTCCAACACGTTTACTTACTTATGATGCTAATTCTACTTGCGAACCAGATTTGTCATTTGGGTTTGATCCTTCTACCAAGCAATATGAAGTGTTGCTCACAACTTCAATACACATCAAGGTGGAGGGGGAGTGTTAAGCCTACTTAGATTACAAGTGTGAAATTTTCACTTTGGGGACACATTCATGTAGAGAGATTGATTGTCTTTCTTTTCCTTGGCACTATGAATTTGGTAGGGGTGGTCGTAGTGTTAATGGAGATACACTGGAGAAATAGGAGTTATTATATACCGAAACCTTCTCCTCCTATGAGTGCAGATGTCATAGTAACATTTGAACTAAAAAGTGAGAGATTTCAAATGATTCCACTCCCTAGGGGACCTTCATGCATGCGTCGTCTGCGAGAACTTGGTGGCCATTTGGTAGCATGTGGTGAATACACAGAAGATGGTTGGGAGGAGCTTTGGATTTTGTAGGACTGTGAGAATTGGATTTGGGTCAAAGAGATAATGATGCCTACTCTTGATTGGGATCGAGAGGGAGATCCTTCTATTGTCGATGCAATTCAGCCAGGTGAAATACTTCTACAACCTTCACGGATACATGACCTCTGGAATATTTACTATTATGATCGGAATAGGAAATCTTTTAGAAAGATTAAGATCACAGGACTTCCTGATTCAGAGTTCTTCGGCAGGAGCGGTAGGAATGCCTTACATGTCACTAATTATGTCGAAAATCTATTTTCCTTGAGGGATATTTGAAATTTGAATGAATTCCTTTTTTCCTAATTTGTTTGGCAGCCCTCCCCCCAAAGGGAAAAGGGTTCGGGGACGCCTAATTCTATTATAAATGGATGAAGGAGACGCATCTTTAGGTTAGGAAGAGTTAATTCCTAACAAAACCATCATGCATGACTCACTTCTCCCCTTCTCCACACTCTTTATCCACAGTCGAAGTCTGCTCCATGTCCGTGGCAGCAAAATTGGTTTTTTTGGGAATCAGCAAAATGGGCTTTCTGGGAATCATCTAAACAATATTAGTACTTGCATTACCATTTTTTAAAATAATTTGGTTCCTTCTCAAGCTCCTTGCTAAACCCTCTATCGATCTTGTTCCAAAATTCAACAAACTTAATAGCAATGTGGGCAGGGTGGTGATCAAGAAGGTGATCTAAATTGGGTTGTTCATGATTAATAACTTGACATGTGAAGTTGCCTGCTTCCTTGACTGGATATTCCTTGGAATTTAATGCAACATACCCACCTTGAGATCCTTAGCAGCAAAATTCTTCACATTGAACCTCACATTGTTGTCATAAGGAAGAACCTTGCTGGAGAGCCTCATGATGCACCTGTTGAGGCTTGACTTCAGTTGTTAGGCTAGAGGGGCTTGAGGATGTTACTCTCCACACGTCCCACAGGGACAGTTCAAATGCCTCAAATCTTTTACACATCCCGAATCATGTCAAAGGCCCTAAGCAAAGTTTGGGCCTTTGTACCAATAAGGAAGGTATACCAATAAGGAAGGTAGACCTCTTAATCATGTTGTCACTTTCAAATCCAGAGATGGGTACAAAAAGGATCTTATCAGGGTTGCATCTCACCTTCTTCAAGTAGAATGAGACCTTAACAATGTCATCATTCCAAGCCTTGGAATACTGTGGCTGTGGCATCCATCTACAAGATTGAGAGGATATATATATATATATATATATTTATTTACATCCCACTTGCAATAATCTGAGAAGGAAAATGATATGCAAGCCCATTTTTTTTAGACCCAATAATATGTAAAAGATATGATTGGCTAATGATTAGAGAAAAATGAGAAAAAGAGAGAGAGGGAGTTGCCTTAGTTATTCTAATAGATTGTCACATCATTAGATTTAAACAGTGACTCTAATTTTTTGGTCTGAATAACACTACTCATCTCATAAATACTATACTACCCTTCAAATAGAGGAAAAGTGTAATGGTGGGACGAATGATTGACAATGAATTCCCAAACATTCAAATATTCATGAAGTACTAAAAAATGGAATCATCTTAAATTTACCATTAATGTTTTGTCATAATTTCAAATGCTAAAATAGATTTCAAAATTTATAATTAGGGGAAATAGGATTCAGTGGGTGCAGGGAAAGTAAATTATTGGACAGTGGGAGATTTTGTAAAATTACAAGACATGTGAGAAGATTGGTTTAATTTACAAAAGGGTAGGAATGATGCTTCTAGGCCCCAACTCCAACTTCTCTCACTCTCTTGTGTGGATTTATACCATACCCGTGCCCAATCTAGGCCCTACCTTGTCATCTCCTTAATCAACCACCAAGATACGTTTTTTCTCAGCAAATTATGGAGGAGGACCGGCCCAGTACTTGCTCACTCATTTCCTCTCAGGACTTTATCATATTAAACAATTTGGCAATGGCTTAATATGCAGGTACCTTAGAAAGTCTAAATCCATTTTCATCGTGAATCCTACCACTCGACAAATTGTTACCCTTCCTTCACAAGGTTTACTTACTGATGATGCTAATTCTACTTGCGATCCAGATTTGTCATTTGGGTTTGATCCTTCTACCAAGCAATACGAAGTGTTGTTCATAAACTTTGTACACATCGAGGTGGAGGGGGAGTGTTATGACTACTTAGATTACAAGTGTGAAATTTTCACTTTGGGCAGACATTCATGGAGAGAGATTGATAGTCTTTCTGTTCCTTGGCACTATGAATTTAGTATGGTGGCCGTTGTGTTAATGCAGTCATACATTGGAAAATACAAGTTATTAATTACCAAAACCTTTTCCTCTTATGTATTCAGATGTCATAGTAACATTTGAACTGAAAAATGAGAGATTTCAAATGATTCCACTCCCTAGGGGACCTTTACGTATGCTTTGTCTACGAGAACTTGGTGGCCCTTTGGCAGCATGTGGTGAATACACGAAAGATGGTTGGGAGGAGCTTTGGATTTTGCAGGACTATGAGACTTGGATTTGGGTCAAAAGATACAATGATGCCTCCACTTGATTGGGTTCGAGAGGAAGATCCTTATAGTGTTGGAGCAATTCAGACAAGTGAAATACTTCTACAACCTTCATTAATTGGAATAGAAATTCTTTTAGAAAGATTAAGATCACAGGGTTTCCTGATTCAAAGTTCTTTATCGATCATTGTAGTTTTGAAGAATTACATGTCACTAATTATGTCGAAAATTTGTTTTCCTTGATTGACATTTGAAATTTGAATGAATTCCTTCACTCCCTTTTTTTTTTCTTCTACATGTCAAAACTATGATGCTAAGTGTAACTTGTTAGGGAATGTCAGTGTAATTTATACCAAAAAAATAAATGTACTATTCACATGACCATTTCAAGTCATTTTTGGCATATTCAAAGCAAACACTTGCTTGCTCAAGCTTTTTATTTTTATTTTTATCATTTTTAAATTTCAATGTTTACTTTTGCGTTTAAAAAATATAGGTAAATTTCATGTTACCGTGTTTTGCCCATGAGTTGCTTACCCCCTCTCATTTGAAAATAATCACATAATTCTTTTGTGATTCGTTAAATATTTCATCGAAAACTTCAAAAGTGAAAAGACGTAACAGGATTATATGCTCATTTTCAAATTTCAATGGGATAAATCGCACATGAAATAAAACAAAAGGATCCACAATTTTCACACTTACGTTACTTATGTATAGTAGTGTTTTAGTCTTTTTTATTAAATCGTTAACGGGCCTAACAATCCACTTCAATCCATAAAACACAAGAGGATTGTGTGGTTATTTCCAAATGAAAGGTAAGTAATCCACACATGAGCCACACCATAAGAGAGTAAACTAAAATTTGCCCTGTAAAAATCTGAAACTAATTTTACATTTAAGTTAAAAATTTCAATTTATAATGTGTGTTTAATTTCAAGGACTTCCTTTCAAGTAATGAGACACTGCTTATTCAAAAAAAGTAATGAGAGAGTGATTGGACTTCCACTATATTAAGAGAGCATGTATCATTCCCAAGTGAAATGAAAAAATGTATATATGTTTTACTTATTGCAATGCCTAGCTTGCATCATCATCGACATCTCTAACAATGAGATGCAACCTACTCTCACCAGCTATGTCCTCCTAGTAATACATAACCCTAACTACATCTGGAAACTCAAACAAGAAATCCCTCCAGTGAATCAAGGGAATCCTGCTTATATCCTGTAACAACATGACTACATCTCAAACCCCCACAGCCGTGTGCAGCGAAAAAATGAATCCATGAGTCCCAATGTTTATGTGGCACCTCTCACGAATCTCTTTATGATATCGCTAGCATGATCCACCAGAACTGACAAAGCTTCCAACAAATCTGAAATAGTCAACTTATTCACAAATAACAAGCATCTTACTGGTCCTGCAATTTATAGAAAGTTAATATTCCAAGTAATACGAAACTAGAAAACAAAATGAAAAAGTAGATATTGTTAAGGGTGTTTATGAAGCGGTTTGGTTCAAGTTAGCACCAAATTAGAATAAACTCAATCAAAACAAATCAAACCATTCTAATGTAGTTCGGATGAAAATCACAGTTCTATTATACTAAACAAACATAAAGGAATCAATCAACAATACATTATTAAAAACAAGTCTTGATGATGATTTAACATAACAAAAATAAAGAACAATGAGAGAGAGAGAGAGAGAGAGAGAGAGGGGAAAGGGGGTTGCCAGAGCAGCGGACGACCACTACTATAAAAACAGATAAAGATCACACTTTTTTTGTGTGATGTATATTATTTAATCACACATTTTAAGTTTTATTAAAGTGTGATCTTTAAGAGTGCGATTAAAAAGAGTCATTTTTAATCACACATTTTAAGTGTGATTAATAATATTTAGATCACATCTTTTAAGTAATTAATAATATTTAGATCACATCTTTTAATTGTGATTAATAACATTTAGATCACATCTTTTAAATATGATTAATAATTAATAAAACCTATGATAGTATTATTTTTGTATACACATTTGAAGAATGTAAAACACACTATATACTATATTTTTGAATCACAACCATATATTGAATGGAATAACGTTATATATTTCATAAATGAAAGTTAAATGTTCAAAAGTATATACAAAGGAATTAATAAAAAGGTTTTAATTGTGATTATATATATTAAAAAATGAAAAAACTTGAAAAACTAAGTTCTTGAATTCTTTGACCATATTTTGCATCACTTTAAGAAATTTTTAACCTGAAAAATAAAAATACAAATTAATTCAGAAACCGCTAAAAGTAAATGAATAAACTTATTATTTTTGTAGAGACTGTTCTTGTCTTACAAAAGACAAAATCGGACATTTTCTCACCATACTGACTATTCATCTCCTACGTCAATAGAAAATGAATAACAACTTTGATTATTACTAGTATAAAATGTTTGGATTACCATATATAAATATGACAGTATTTATATACACATCTAGCACTCATTTCCAATTTACTTAGCTTCACTCCAGACCACCATTGGAGCACACCCTCGAGTGAATCTGGTGTTGCCCACTGAAAACCCCACCAATTTAGTAGCTCAAGACTTAGCAACAGAAATGGTTGCTAGATTCAACTTCACTTTTACAAAAAGGGCAGACATTAACATTATTACCTAGAGCACAATTTTTTTGCAAATAGTCAGCTGTTATTACCCTCCCTTACCATTAAACCATAATAGATTAAGATAAATCAATCACTACAAGAAACAACCTTTGAAATGAATGTCACAAACCCATTACTTGCACATCAATAGCACACCTAAAAAAGCAAACTAGTGACAGAAAAATAAACCAAAGAAAAATGGCCAAAGAGAAAAATAAACCAAAAGACACATAAACCAAAGAGAGTATTTTATAAACAAGTTAAAGTTCCAAGTACCCAAAATAAACAAATGGCTAAACATAACAAACAACAGAAACGGCCAGAGAATCAGATTTAGCACTAAAATTGATAATTTAACCAATACATCTACTACAACAAGAAGCTAATTCTCACTCAATACACTTCATATTACCCAGAAATACGTACTGATAAATAAATAAATATATATATACTCAATTTTTGATGAAAAAGAAACTTGAATTCTTGAGGGGTGAAGTGTTGGTTGACTAAAATAGAAACCAAATACGCCCTAGAATTTAGAAATTCAAGTGATCAAAGGAAAGAAAGAACCAAGCTATTAGTGAAGGATTCCATCTATAAAACAAGGCTAAATGGTTATGCAAAGAGCAGCTAGTTGATCTAGATGAGTACTCTGACACCAACTTAAGAAACATGGAAGACTTGTCATCTAATAACCTTGCTGGACTATCAAACTGTGTCACTTGACCTGCAAAACTAAGTTTCATGAGCTTTCTGTTAGTGTGTGCAGCAGAAACACAACATAGACTAAAATTTCACTGGGAATTAAATGATAAAAAAACTGAGAAATTGTTCTAAAACAAATTCCAAATATTAGACTCAAGTTTTGATGTTCTGTGAGAAAGATTACCGGTTAAAACTTGGCATCAATGGATTCCAAATCTAATAAATTCTGGGTATTTCAGATGCATAAATTCATAGAAGTGAAAAGCGAAAAGAAAAATGAAAACAAAACTGTAATGGAATATGACCTATAAGTGACTTTGATACTTAGATACTTCAGAGAGAGAGATGAAAATAAAAACAAAGATCGACTGTACAAACAACCTTGGAGTTGTAGAAACATTATGTTAATAAATTTGATGGGACAGGTCACAAGAAGATCAAGAAGCAACAGCCTTCATTCAGCTTCCAGCAATTACTGTGAGCCAAAGAGAGTGAATCATTTTTAGATAATACTTGCCATACCATCATACTCAAGTTGAGAAATGAGAAGCAAAACTCTCTAATATTTTTACAGTGTAAAATATCATACCTAAGACTTTAACGTCGAAGACCAACAACTCTCTCAAACCCATATTTACATTCTAAAAGTTAACTCTTAATCAAGATACATATTCACCTGCATATCCTGAGAATCAAGCTTAGATATATACTCTTGTATACCATAATCTCCTTGAGTTTCCATCATTTCAAGAACATCAAAAAAATTTGATGAATCTTGGAAAATTTGATTCAATGCAAACACATTGTGCTTAGTTGGTGTTACTAGTGAAAAACAAGATGCAGAGTCAGGAATTATTCATCGCAAGATATCTAAAGAGTTGTGGGTGTTGATATTGTTCCTACAGACCTACAAGGGCAGCTTTCTCTTCTAGAGCCTTTTACTAATTTAATTTATCTTGTCAAAAGTTTAAAAGAAAAAGAAATGAAAATTTTTTGGATACCCGTGAAAATTAATAACATTACCAAATGCAGATTAAACTAAAATTCTTAGGAAAAAGTTCTACAGATTGCAGCAACACTTATGTCCACTAAATGGAAGAAGAAATGGGAAGTATTAGTGTATGCACCATCACTGGGGACCAGAACTAGATCGCTGTCAATAACAGTTGGGATACGATGAGCAATAGTGCACACAGTGTAGTCCCTAAACTCTGTTCAGATGATCTTCTGGATAGGATTATCTGTAGTTGAATCAACTGAAGTAGTGGCTTCATCAAGAACCAAAATTCTTGCTTGAGGTGACTAGAGAACTGATTGACTTAGTTGACATTAAGTAATTGGCTATCTAAGGAGCACGGTTTTCGCATCAATTTCCCATCAATTTTTCATGTTTGAATTGTTCAAGTAGTGCAATATTTCAATAATCAAGGGCAGCTGGTTTTTTTACCGCATCCTTGCTATAAAGTTGGAATGTACACTACTCTCGACATCCAAAGTCCAACTCAATATGTCATGACCCGAACCCGCCCCTATGGGTTAAGGACATAACCGGCCAGTAATCCTGAGATCACCTACGGCCTCAAAACAAAACATGATGACTTGTCAGAGTAAAGGGGCCAAACGGAAGCAATAATTAAAAACTTTGTCCATAGAGCCGTGCTTATATGCACATCAAACAAACCATGTTCAGATACGTTAATAACCCACATCAAATATACAGTTTCACAAAATTCATTACAGACAGGATCATTCAGAACGAGCCATCCTATAACAGACTATTTACAGATATACACAAGGCCCTTGCCAACAAGACAAAACATAAGTACGTAGCAAAAAGGCAAGGTAGGTCTCAAGAGTGAGACACGAGGCTGACTTCCCCAAAACTCGGATTTTCCTAGCAGACTTCACTGGGGCTGGGTTTGGACTTCCCTTGGCTCACCTACAAACACATGAATGAGCGTGAGCGATAGCCCAGTGAATAATATCAAACATGACAGTTACATAACAATATGTAGAATAATATACTCCAAACGGCCTTGGGCCCAATTCATACTTCTTGTTAGTAATTATATATGACTATATGAAATGCAAATCAAGTAACTGTAGTTCCAACATTCTGGCCTTTGGCCCATTCGGGTTTCCATTCATAACAAAACGGCCTTCGGCCCACTCACTTATATCGAAACGGCCTTCGGCCCATTCATTCATGTCTAAACGACCTTTGGTCCATTCATTTATATCAAAACGACCTTTGGTCCATTCATTCTTATCAAAACGACCCTTGGTCCATTCATTCTTATCAAAACGACCTTCGGTCCATTCATTTATATCAAAACGACCTTTGGTCCATTCATTCTTATCAAAACGACCCTTGGTCCATTCATTCTTATCAAAATGACCCTTGGTCCATTCATTCTTATCAAAACGACCTTCGGTCCATTCATTTATATCAAAACGGCTTTTAGCCTATTCATTCATATTAAAACGGCTTTTCGCCTATTCATTCATATCAAAACGGCTTTTCGCCTATTCATTCATATTAAAACGGCTTTTCGCCTATTCATTTATATCAAAACGGCTTTTAGCCTACTCATTCATATCAAAACGGCTTTTCGCCTATTCATTCATATCAAGACGGCTTTTCGCCTATTCATTCATATTAAAACGGTTTTTAGCCACAATCCCAATTAACAACTCATAAGGTTTATAAGGGGATAAACAATTAGACATTGACAAGCTTTCGAATGTTGATATTACTCACAGTGATCGGCTTGTTGATTTGCCCTGGAGCTTGACCCTACACGTTTCATGAACACAAAAGGGTCATTAACAGTTCAATCCGTTCCTTAATTCACATATTCCTCTTTAGGCTTTATTCTTATCTTATCAACTCATTTACAATGCTTAACATATGCCTAAGAATGCTTATAAGTGAAAGAGAATGGAAAACGAAACACAGAACGCATGAACAAAATTTCAGAAAACAGGGTCCACGCTCGAGCGTAGACTTCCCCGCTCGAGCGGACACTATAGGCCTGCAAAAGTACTGGTTGCCTGAAAATTACGCTCGAGCGTTAAATAGGTCGCTCGAGCGGAAGGCCCGGAGCGTCAACTTTCCCGCTCGAGTGGAAACCATGTCTGCAGGAAATGTTGGGAGCTCGATTTCTCCGCTCGAGCGTAACTTCACCCGCTCGAGCGGACATCGGAAATCTGGGTTTTCCAGATTGAGTTCTTGAGCTTCATCTTGACATTCAAAGGCTCTAAATGCATGATTTCGGTCCAAACTTCACAAAATTATATACTATCATGGTACAAACATAGGATTACAACATATTGAAGCTCAATTTCATAATTTATCTACATGCATGCCCCAAAATGTGTCAAACTCAATCATTAACATAACAAATTCATGCATTCAAGCTTATATCTTCTCAATTTGTGCATGCATGTCAATTCTTAACTCCATCAATGCAAATGGTGTTCATTCTCATGGAACACAACAAAAACATGCTTGCATGTAGGATTTAACACTCATATTTCCACATTCATCCCAATACATGCTTGATTATGCAAAAACATGGTGACCCTATACATGCATGTGCATTTTAACTTCAAATTCATCAAGTAGAGTACAACTCTTGTTTTTGATCACCAATTAACCTTTAATTCACAAAATCACAAGTTCGAACCCATGAATTCATAAACAATCACTTACCTAGAAGCTCAATCTATGGTCAGTTCTTGAGTTGGACTTCAAATTCATAACCTTGGGCCAAAAATTACACAACTTTCTCCCTCACTCTCTCTCTAACAGCCGATCTCCTCCCTTTCTTAGAGTTTGATCAGCCAAAAATGAAGGTATATGAGAGAATGAGGAGTGTAGTGCTCAAATACAAGAAGCCCCACTAGCCACATTTAAGATATTAAACAATTTGAGCACAATGCCATTAAATAATTCAATTTAATCTGGCCCGAATCAATTCTTCGATTAAATTTCACCGTAGGCTCTAAAAATTATGCCAATCACAATAGCGTAATCAATTTCGGGTTCTGTGGCCGATAAGGCCCTCAATTATATTTCCAAAACTGATTATTCAAACAGATATTCCTACGGTGAACAGATAAAACTTCAAAATCACATATATTCACATAATGGCACATAAAATCATAGTAAACACGTAATCATACTCAATTTAAGGACCAATTGGCATACTACGGAACAGGGGTATTACAAAAACCATTCCAAATATTGAATTTGAGAAATGACAGATTATCGATGCCCATCTCCTCAGTTGCATTACTACAACACTTTCTGCTTCTGTATTCTCTTTTGTTCTTCACCTTCACCATTGTTCTCAGGTTTGGACTGCAATTGAGAAGAGATTCACTTCTCTTTCTTGATCACACATTCATCAACTCAAATACAAACTTCAGAGCCTTACATAGAGAGGATTTACAATGGAGGAGTATCTTCAACAGATAAGAGAAATCTCAGATCAATTAAGTCTTATATCTTCGATTGTTGATGATGAAAATTTGGTTCTTCTTACTTTGAATGGTCTACTTGAGGAATATGATGCATTCAAAACCACCATTTGTGCTAGAGTTGAAGCCATTACAATGACAGATTTGTCTACTCTGTTGTGTTCCGAAGCTATACATATGGAAAACAAGGTCAAACAAGCTCTTGGAATTGATACAATTGCTGCCTATACTGCAACCAAGACATCTAAGTTTGGTCCTTCATCATCACATTTTTCTCCACATAGAGGTCACTCTGTATTCAATCGAGATCGACATCAGTTTCATGGTTCTCGATGTGGTAGATATCGTGGTAGTAGTCGATCATATCGTAATGATAGAGGTAGAGGCAGATCTGGAAATTTCTCTTCTACTTGTTCAGGTTGTTAGATCTGTGGTGTTCTTGGTCATAGTCCCTTGACTGTTGGTACAAAATGGATCCAAATTATCAATCTTACCATCACACAACCTCTTCTCCGAATTCTGCTCCATATGTTCGAGCATATGCTGCACTGACACCTCCTACTTCTTCTTCCATTCCTACCACTCCTCCTTGGTATGTTGATTCGGCTACTACAAATCATATCACCAATAACTTAAGCAACCTTTAGGCCTACCAGCCTTCTCAAGGCATAGATCAGGTTACAGTAGGTAATGGTCAGACCCTACCTATTCATCACATTGGTAAGGGTCTCTTGCTTACATCTCAGTGCTCTCTTCATCTCAATGATATGCTTCATGTTCCTCACATTTCTTCCAATCTTTTATCTGTTCATAAGCTTACCAAGGACAATAATTGTTCAGTTACATTTGATGCTAACTCTTTTGTCATTCAGGACAAAATTTCGAACCAGGTTCTGCATAAAGGCTCTAATCATCATGGACTTTACCAGTTTGCATCCTCTTCTTCCTCTCATCATCCTCAAGCCTGCATTGCTCACTCTCCTTCTTAAGTCTCTATGTCCACTTGGAATCAAAGACTTGGCCATCATTCTTCTTTGAAAATGCAACATATTGTCAAATAGTTACCTGTTGTAATAAAAAAATAATAGTGCTAATTTTCATGCACTCCTTGTAATGTTGCTAAGATCCATAGACTACCTTTTAAAATTTCTACTAATATTGTTAATAGGCCCTTTTCTCTTGTTCATAGTGATGTATGGGGCCCCTTTCATGCTTCTATTTATGGATTCAAATGCTATCTCTTGTTTGTAGATGACTTTACTCGATTTACTTGGATTTACCCTTTGCATGTCGAAAGTGAAGTTTTTTTCCACTTTCCTTTCTTTTAAAGCTTATGCTAAAACTCAGTTTGCTACTCCTCTTCAAATCTTAAGAACTGATAATGGTATTGAGTTTGTTAACAAACAAATGGATGCCTATTTGACTCAACAAGGTGTCATTCATCAATTTAGCTGTCCTTACACTCCTGAGCAGAATGGCATAGCTGAAAGAAAACATCAACATATTATTGAGACTGCCATTGCACTATTATCTCAATCTTCTATGCCTGTTTCTTTTTGGTTTGAGGCTATTGCTACTGCTATTTTTTTTTATTAATAGACTGCTTAGCCTATCTCTTGGTCATAAGTCTTCTTTTGAACTTTTGTTTCACACTGTGCTAGATTATTCTTTCCTCAAGGTGTTTGGGTGTCAATGTTTTTCCTGGCTTTGCCCCTATGCTTCTCACAAACTTCAACCTCAACCCACTCCTTGTGTGTTTATTGGTTACCATCCTACTACTAAAGGTTATAGATGCTTAGATCCATTGACAAGCAAAATTCATTTGTCTAGGCATGTTTTGTTCATTAAGTCTTGCTTCCTTTTTGCACATGTTTCTAACACACCATCTTCTTCTTCTTCCTCTGATCTGTCTTCTTTGTTTTGGCCATAGTCTGCTTCTTCTAAGCCTATTTCTCCTAATCCTCACTTGACTCCTACTTTTGTTGCTCCTATACCTTCCTCTATGCCTCATTCTGGTCCTCATACTTCTGCTTCTATACCCATTTCTTCTAGTCTGGAACCTGCTATCTCTGCTCCTGCAGTTTTCATACCTGCTATTTCTGCTCCTGCAGTTTCCATACCTGCTATCTCTGCTCCTGAACACCAAAATCAAGATTCAAAATACAAGAAAAACATGATACTTGACAAATTTGCACGAAGCACCAAAATCAAGATCCAAAACACAAGAAAAACACAATACTTAATAAATTTTTAAGGATTTCACCTTTTGAGAGGAGAATGCTTTTCTTATCTGGGAATCATATTCCTTTCCACCAACATTACGAAGCCAAGACACACACACACACACATGGAGCAAAACTTTGCTATCTTTTTTTCTATTTGGATTTTCTATGCTCCTAATGTTTTAGGGCATCTTGACAATTATATAACTGCTGATGCAATGCCCACCCCACCTCATATTGTCGCCCCCAAGAAAAAAATTGTTTGGCCACTTTTTTACTTGATTTAAAAATAATAACAAATTAATAAATAAAATGACGATACAAAACTTAACAAACACAGAGTCCTAAATGAGCACAAAGCACGAAAATGCAGACCCAAAATATAAGAAAAACATATGCAACTATTATTTAGAAGGATTTCACCTTTTAAAAGGAAAATGCTTCCTTAACTGGGAATCATATTCCTTTCCACCAACTAACTCCTACCACACCAAAAGCAAAAAAAAAAAAAAAAAGATAAAGAAAAATATGACAACACAAAGCTTAACAAATACATAGTTCTAAGATAGAAGAATCCACAATTTCGTAGATATACATGAATCAAGCGCCACACAATGCATCTTCCAATAGCTTCTTCAACTATTCTTAGACCTCCATCAAACAAGTAGTGTGTATAGTCAACTACAGAAAAACGGAAAAGGAAAAAAATAATCCCCGACCAAAAAGGTTTCATCATATCAACTTAATCACCTAAGTAGTAGCATTTTCACATATAAAGTATCCTATTGACACATTAATAAATCAACCATTTGCTAAAAAGACCAAATTTCATAAATACGTTATATATATTCTGAATCCCAACTTAGGAGCCAAAAGCACAGATTTGTATACAAAAAACAATGCAAGATATGAACTAAAAGAGAGGGAATATGAAGGAACTGACCTGAGGAGTAAACATCAACGGTGAGTGAGTGAAAAGATTTATTTCTCTACCATCACACCTGTAAAACAAACAAACAAACAAACACCCACACACCAAAAAAAAACGAGCAACAAATCACAAAGCTAAGAAACAAATCACAACCAAAACCAAGAGAATAATTTTAATTAAAGGACTTTTTTAGTTACTCTGTTTACCATAAAAATAATTTTGTTAATTCAATTACCTTATGAATTTGTGATTGTTTGCCATATGCATTTACATTGTCAACTGGTTGGATGAGAGAACAATGTCATAATCATAAATATTATTTTATTGTTGCGCAACAAACCATCGCAACAAGGTCATCAAATATTTTCATTGAGAAAATTCTTTTACCCGTTTCTCATGCAACCAAACATTGAAAAATGAAAAAATAAAAATGAAAAAAAAAAAAATAATAAATAAATATAAAAAAAAATTTAAAAATTCATCCAATTATATGATGATCGAACAAATGGAGCTTGAGAAAGAATGATATACGAAGGATATAACCATTATTACCTTAACAAATCTAGGTTGTAAAACTTCTGGATTCATCTCTTCAACTTCAACTTTAAACACACTAACAAACACAAAAGGAAAATCAAAAAATTCAATTGTTTTGAGTACAGGAAAAAATGAAAATGCTTAAAAAAATTTGAATATCAATAAAAATGGATAATAGATATAGACAAATTTGAAACGGGAAAAAAACATTAATAAGAAAATCAAGAATTCTAATAGGAGAATTTTGTTATATTTTTATTGGATGAAAGGTCAACAAAAGGAAGTAATTGAATCATATATATAGGTGAAACATGATTATAAATTAAGGAAAATCAACAATGAAAACCACTTTCCTCTGCTATAAATATACAAGTGTTTAAGGCAAAGTACAGTAACACTTAAAATTATAGCCACATTTATAGGCACATACCTTGGAAAACTTCTTGTCTCTCTCATAATCAAGGCCAAATGGAGCATTTTGCAAGGTCAAAAGCAATACCTGACAATTGTGAATTAGCATTGGATTATGAGATGTTACTTCCATCAAAGATGCAGATAAAAGCATGTGACTTCACATAATGTATGCACCTTCATTGGAGGATACTTTGAAAAAGGAGCATGGCCATGGGCAAGCTCTAAAGCAGCAATGCCAAAAGACCAAATATCAGCCTTGTAGGAATATTATTGAAATAAGAACACTTCATAGTATATAATTAAAAAAATAATAAACAAGAAAGAACACTTGCAAGAAACATGTCAACAGACTTGAAGTCATAACCATGTAATTGCTCCATAACCTTAGGTGCCATCCTGCAAAACAAATAATCATCCACTAATTAAAGAATATACTACATACAGAAACAAGAAAGAAGTTGACCCTTGGATTACACTACATTGAGATATAAATAATGTGATATTGGATCCCTCTGACAGAAAGGGTAAACACTAAACAAGTATATTCACAAAACAATGTGCCTGGTCTTAAAAGATGCAAGCTAAAAAAATAAAATTAAAAAAGGCACTAACTCATGCTAATTCAACATAATGTGGTAATTACACGTATCATACTGACTGCACCAGAAACATGATTCTGCATTTTCACCTGAGTATCACCCAGATGATCTGGTAAAAAGCATCCTAACCATTGCCATCCAGGTTCGTTGAAATGAATTGAAACTAATAATTCCCTATGACCTATTAAACCACAAGAAACCAAATAAGAAAAGAAAAGAAAACATTATTATAAGAAAAGGCTTCCATATCTCTGTAAATTTTAACGAAAAAATAACTTTGCTAAAGATAAACATTTTTCATCCACCTAGTTGAGAGCTGAAAGAAGTGACAATATGAACATTTATGATATAGTCAGCCAAGCAAAGAAAGTTGAATTTGACCATGAAATTTTCACCTTTAGACCTTCCTCACTCACTCT